AAAATGGGGGGGCTGTAGAGGACTGAAGATAAACTACAATTAAAATGCAGTTTGGGTTAGTAAAAATAAAAGCACTGGACAAAACTGAAAGCTGTATACTGATATTCTAGGCTTAGCAACAGGAAAGGATTTAAAGCAGTCTCATGGACACATATGAACGTGTGACAAGATAAGCTAAAAACAATGGGAAATAAAGCCTAAATATCAGGAAACACATTCCAGTAAAGTGTGCCTCGGTTCACATTAAGCCCCATTACCAGAGCCTTTCAAAGCTAGCGTATACAAAAACAGCATAATACCCATTGTCAGGAACACTAAGTCTGCACTAAACAGGGGGCAAAACCAGGTGGAAGGGGTACTTTTCTGTTCTCTAATTTCAAGTCAAATATAAAGAGAAGCACGTGTAAAAGTAAAAATCATCCACCCACATATTATAATGTCACAGAACAGACTCATTTTGGGTGACATCGCCGATCATAGTGGGAAGCTGATCTTTAAGGTCCCTTCTAACCCAAACTATTCTGATTTCAAGTACATTATACCACAAGGAGTTAATAAAAGGCTGGGGAAGGAACAATTTTCCTCTGGCTTGATTCAAGGTACTTGGATTATTCATCACATTTGTGAAGGAATATGAATCCTATCAAATAATTAGATGGTGTGTTAACCTTTCTGGTTTGCAACAGCCTGTGACTGACGAGTAGAAGGGTTCTCCAAGAACAATTTCCTGTGCTGTTGTTTCTTTCTGCCTGGACTCTCAATGAAGGGTGTATTTTGTGCGCTTGTATAGGGAATCCCTGTGGAGGTTTTGTTGAGGTTTAGGTCAAACCTCCCTGAATTTAACTTAAAATTGGGGAGCTATTAGATGCCATATTTTTTCTGGTATCTATTACCAGTACTACAAAATTAGTCCTCTTCCATTACTGTAATTTTAAAAATCCCACTCTCTTACATCAGTTTGGTTTAGAGTGAGGTGGAAGATGAAATATCAAATTGCAAAAAAAGTACACTAAAAGAAGCCTAGTGTACTCAATGGACACAACTAAGAAGTTTAAATAGTTACAGTAGAATCTCAGTGGTATTGCAACTTAGATTTTTCTCAGACCTCTGCATCAAAGACCAGTGTGGTTTTCTCCTCCCATCATCATCCTGGCTGATGGTCACCTTCAAAGTCTTGGTTGTAGAAAAAAAAAACAACAAACAGCGGCCCAGTCTGTTGTTGTTCTAAAATCTGTGATACAAAAATCATAGGATTTGTAAGAATTTTTAAATTGTCTGAACTGACAGTATCTGAGAACTCTCAAAATTTCTAATGGGCCTCAAGGTTTCCAAGCAAGCCAAGTAAACTACAAAGCAGGTAGAGGCAAAACAAATCCTTAAATTCTGCTGATGAATAGGATGCCATGAACTACCTGGAAAATGCTCATAGAACATCTTAATATAACATAGTTTAGGAAAGTCTGTTCTAATTCAGTGAAAAATTGCGGAGGGAAAGTAGGTCAAACAGGCAATTGTTTGTCATAGCTTTAAAAATTGTTTATTTCTAAGGGCTTCTCCTGGTTTAGGGCAAATTTGGGAGGAAACTTCTGAATGGGGCCCCTCTAGAAAACAGATTCAAGCTGGCCCTCCCCCTCACCAGGTCGGGAAAGATTTCCCGGAAGAAAAGTAGAAAAAACTGTTTATTTAAGAAGCCAAGTATTTACAAACATAAAAAACAATAATATTAAACAATGGAATCTCTCAGTGTTCTGAAGAGAGGCAAGTTCAAAGAGAGTTCTTTTTGTGGGGTGTAGCTCAGCTCACTCAGTCTCTATCAGTCCCTCCTGTGATGGAAAATGCTGCATCCCAGGCCCTGGGGGTCACAGGCATGAGCTCCTGGTGTTTTTCTGGGTTTTTGGTTCAAAGCAAGGCTGATCAGTTCCAAGAAAAAGAACAGCCTCAGCTAGCTAAAAAAAAAATAACTAAAAGCAAAGGAGAGCTCTCTCACACTGTCTGTGCTGCAGACAACAAGTCCATGAGAAAGAATGCGGGGGAGAAAGGGCAGTTTCTGCAAACAAACTGTGAGCGCCTTTTCGTCCCCTGCACTCTTGGAACCAGTTTTAAAGGCACAAAACTTTTTTCTGGGCTAAACAGATGAATGGGGATAAAATTCAGCATCATAAAGTCACCCCAGGACCAGGCTTTACATGTGCTACTTCATTTTCTTCAAAAATTCCCTTCCACTTCACTGTGATGAAGCCTGTTCCAGAAGCAACTGCATTCTCAGCATGTTCTTCACACAATGGGTCACTCAATTTGAAACTAGAAATAGCAGGCTTGGTAGAAGATTTCAAACTGTTTACCAAACTAAGGAAAAACACGGACTGAAGGAAAGATAATGCAGCATAGTTGATTACTTCCGGTTAATGTATGGATAAGCGCAGCTAAAAACAGTCAAAAGCAATAGAAATTAAAAGCAGTGGATACTCTTACAATGAGGTCTATTCATGCAGTGTCACTGGAGGAATGTATGTACATTTAAAGAGAAATAAACAATGGAAACAGACTCTGCTCTTAGTAACACTGGAGTGAGTGTGATATTCCCTACCCAGTTGGCATTACTCTGGA